AAAATATTCCGTCAGGAGTATTGATTGCGCAGTTAATTCAATACATTCTATAGCTAGTTATTGCAACAACTGTACAAATATATTGTAAGTATTACAAAATAAAGCATCCGGTAACAGAGCATTATATCTAGTATGTCGTTCTGTACACTAGCAGCACACTACGACTTTACATCAAGTCGTAACGTCGACGCTTACGAAGCGATTGAATATCCCGTAGAGAGCCTGTTTACGATCGTTTTGTCACACGCAACGGTCACTGATTCCCCCAGTACTTCTTTTTAAACAAGTTTACAGTTTCCATCCACACGAAAGATGCTATCCACTTAAGCTTTTCCAGGTTAATAAGACAATAAAAAACCATTGGTTTCAATGATGTGTGATGCAACAGTTTATATAAGAGATATAATAAATAGAAAGATCTTGAGTTTATCTCGCTCTTTTGTTCATATTTGACTTAGTTATTTTTCTAAAAGTTAGCTACATGACAAAGACAAGCAGGTGAGCTCGCGAGGAATGCGTGTCTCACCAATCGCTCACTGCTTCCTCTAATGAGATGTCATTTTTCTTCGTTGTATGCTGGTACAAATATAATTCTTGTAACAATACGACACAAAAGGATAAAAACGTATGTATACGGGTTTTAATAAGGTATTCGCATTCCGACCTTTGTGGAACTGATGGTTGACAGTCGACACCTGCGAGGTGACGTACATGAGGCGGCTATTTTCTGCAATGAATTGATACTTGGTCCAGTTGATTGACAATGCTATGGCACATTCTAAGAGATCATACTTTTTAGCATACTGAGATTCACGATTTTTAATATAATTTGTATGTATTTACTACACCCAATTATAAATTTAACAATTTGTACTCTAAACAAGTAATAAAAATCTAAGTTACCCTTTTTAATAGATTAATTAAAATTGCACATGCCATAGTTAAATTGCGACCGTTAATAACATGTAACCGCATTCAGAAGTCAGACAGTTGTGCAAACTGGACTCGAACCTTGCGAAATAACAATGCAATGCGTAACTGAATAGTACTAACTGGCGACAGCCGTCGCTAAATAACTAATAGGGACTTTTAACTTGTTTTTAATTAAACATATATCAAGTCTAAATTTTTAGACCAATCTTGTATCTCAGAAGTAGCCTAAATTCTTCTTATTATAAAACTTAACTGAGCTTTTAAAAAGCATGATCTTTGGTCGGCTTTGCAATAGCTAGCCTTATAGAGCACATATATATGTAGCATTCTAAAAACATAGACTATAGAACTTTAAAGCAACCGCGTAAACAGGCTACTAGTTACCTATATCAATTTGTTGAAACCTAGCTAGGCTAGAATATTCTTGACGAAATGGTTTAAAATAAACTAAAACTTATGGTTAACAGTTTGGTAACTTTCAGACTCTAAGACTACATAAAGCGTATAAAGATTCTATTCGTAAATCAGTACGACTTAAGTTAATTTACTTCTTGATCCTTGCAGAGCTATCCCGCCCTTTTTTAGTTAGGTAGCAATGTTGCAATGAAGTGAAATGCAAATTCTCGAATGTTTAGTTTAAAACAACCTTCAGAAGTTGAGTAAATGATAAAACTAAAACCTCTGAAGAGCTTTTAGAAAGTCGTTAGATAAGATATTTGTAAGCTCGTGAACTGCGGTATTTTTGTCAATTGCTTTAAATTTACTCAAATTTACCAACAAAATAACACAGGGAATACCATTATTAGTAACTTTTATCATCGAAAGTTTGACACACGTTAGAAAATGTAATCCAACTTAAAAATACCATTTAAAAAGCAAGTAAAGGATTAAATGATCACTAGGAACTGATAGTAGAAGCTCGTCACTGCGTACCTAGCCATCCATCCCACATATATGTCAAGCACTGCACTGAAATCACTGAAACTGAGTTTGTACGGCACAGGGTACACTAGGGCACAGGACACGGCGGCGCAGCGCAGGGTGGGGTGCGAGTGCGCGCGGGCGTCGCAGCGGCGGCGTGGACACTGCCGGCGCCCGCGCCCGCCTCTCCTATAAATTCTTTACAAGACTCGTGCCGTGGCCGGGCCCTGTACAGTCGCGCACGAATGTCCTTTAATAGCCCTTTAGCCTGACTTGCGTTATTAAGCTTCGAAAAGCTCTTTGCAGCTTGTTAAAGCACTATGCAAGAGTGGTAGATTTTATTTTTGTCATTCACTCAATATATTCTAGTGAACAAGATTCAACGGTATCTTGTTTATTATTAAAGTCCTTAGATATTATTGAGGTTTTTAAAGTTTCCTAAACGTCATCCACTGAGAGTTTTGCTACTTACGAAATAAAGTTCAATTAATTACAGTTATATTCACTTTAAAGTGTTAAAGATTAGGTAAATAAGATAATCCACGTGGGGCTAGCGGTGCGACTTGCGGTCGCGACTGCCCCTCGCGGCTCGCAGGCGCGCGCGCAGCCTCCGGTCGTCGCTCGAGCAACCAGTCCGACCGCTTACACTCCCCCTGCACGCCTCTGTCCCAAACTTTGCCCGCCCATACCACAAATACCACCTTACTTCCTTCATATAAAGTCTAAAACCAATCGCTCGTCTTACACATTTATTAACCGTCATTTTGTACAAGACATGCCATCCAGGGTTCTCTACACATTTCGCCGGTCGTCGCCCAATGTGAGCTCTACGGATACGCAACAGAGATGGTTTTGGTTGAAGATGAGATCCCGAGGAATGCACCTGCAGGCTACCGGACACCGCAATGATTGCGACTCAACTACCACAATAATATTTACAGAGTTTCGTTTAATGCGATCACTAGAACACGTGCGGCCACTGTCTACGAGTTCGAACAACACTTACTATTAGAAAACCAATAGAACATTACTCGTGCTATATTTACAAAGTCATTCCCAATATTAAGAGCACACAAAATGTAATTTAATGCAACGATATATTTCTGTGTACAGTTCTAGAATTTAAGTATCTCTACTATATCTAGATATAGTGTCTAGATTGTCAAGTGCAACCATTCAGATGTTACTTTGGTAAACAAGCTCGGGATAAAAGTGAATTCAGACGAGTCAAGTTGTCTACCGCTGCACACCTCATTACAGGAATACTGTCAGATGTTTGTTTGATTTAAATTCCTTCTTAATATTTGTGCAAATTAGATTTTACATTAATTCATAGATACTTAAGTAAAGCTTAGTTACAGGAGTTCAGAATAACTTAATTCATGTGACATAATACAGCGTAAACTCTATATTACAATCAAGGGAACGAGCATTTCCAACGCTATATAGAATTATTACAAAGTTTGACAGTTAAATGGGTTATTATGCCCTTTTACGACGTTAAACAGAGTGTGCGCGACTTTTATGTATAAAGAAAAAAAAAACACCAAAAACAAGCGAGTTGGACGATATAAGATATTCGACGTTCTAGTCACATTAATTGGAAAATACTATAAAAAGAAAATCCTGTAGATTGCTGAAACTGTAAACATTACTTCTTATCAGTAAAATACGAGCGTGTAGTATTTTACGATACAGAAAGTGTACACACGCTGATATTTAAGTAAATAAGGTAAGTGCAACTTATAAGTAGTACTTACCTTATTTAAATAATTTAATTACTAAGTCTTTTGCTGATTGCTAACGTAAACCTTTCATTTGCCTAGCTGTTCTAGAAACAAGTGGATTTTGTAATTTTAGTAAAGTTTAAAAATTAAAACCAACGTGTATTCATTGTTCTGCTCCAGTGTATTCGTAACATAGATAATACTATTATGGACGTTTCAGAGAGTCTATTTATTTTCTAAAAAAAAAACTGTTGCTTTGTAAAGTAGAAACGAAATCTCAGTTTATTTGGTGTCTAGCATTCAAGCGATATTTAATGCTAGTTCAATTAACAAGCATTAAGTAATTCTTAAAGACCCATTAATATAAAAATATTATATACGAGCTGTTGCCCGCGACTTCGTCCGCGTGGTATTAGAAAACATACAAACTATATAAATTACAAAAAGCTACGTATCCCTCGGGAACCGGACATTTCTCGGGGATGAAGCTTATCCCATGTGTACTCCAGACATTGTTTTATATCTGTGCCAAATTTCAATAAGATATGTTGAACCGTTGCAGAATGATCGAGTAAACATTAAAAAACTAAATTAATGCATCCCACGGGAACCGTAACCATTCCCGAGATAAAAAGTAGCCTATGTGTTCTTCCAAACTATGCTCTAAACCTGTGCCAAATTTCATGGAGATCCGTTCAGCCGTTTAAGCTACAAACGCTAACAAACATCCATCTATACATCTAAGCTTTCGCATTTATAATATTAGTAAGATGTATGTAACAATATGAAAGATATATACTCGTAGTCGTCAGTAGCCCTCTGCAGTTGCAGTGCAGTTATGCGTGAGTCCACTGAGCATCCTTTAATCCTACAGCCATCAATGTAAATAATTATTAAAGTTACTTTGTGTGGATGGACGGACGTTTCAGCATATCCCATAAACTGGTTATCATACGACTGGACACCTTATACAAGCCGCATAAGGTTCAAATTATGCTCCCCGTTTTGCAGAGTATCATCTCATCTGCAGTTATTAAATGAGTGGCATTTGAAGAATTTCCTTGTTTGAAAACGAGTTATGGATGTAACCCAATTTAAGCGGAATTCCTGCGCACAAATTCCTGAGCTCGCAACATTGACTTATTATTTTTTATGTGCCATTCATTCCCGCATTATTTTCCCTGTCGTCGTGGTTTTAATTTTTTTTAGCAATGTTTTTATGATGCGTTTGTGCATGCAAGTCCAATTTTATTTGCCATTGAATGTAATTATTTTGAAAACCATATTTATGTGAGAGTGCAGTTCTTTACCGTAGTAATTCACAGTGCGACACAACTTTAAAGCTGTCTTTATTTGTCGCTTGTTTTCTAAAATGAAAGGACGTTAGGAAAATAAACGTAGACAAAATAATACAGGATATTGTATTTAAAACAATTTTTTTTCTTGCCGCCGTACAATAAATTACACATAGCTTGAGTGAACGTCACTGATACAAAATATATTATAATCAATCAATTGTAATAACTTATTATGTACCCTATAGTTTATACATCCGTCTGCGTCTATCTATATTACCAAAACAATTGTTTTATCTACTGATAACGCGTCGCCGCCATCTTGCCGCCAACTAGCAACACTGACGTTTTGACAGATGTCATTTCCGCGTTCTGTCACAATGACAGCTAAACATTATAACAAAAAAATTGGATTTTCTTTTTCCGTAATTTCCAAATGATTAAAAAACGAAACATTAATATAACTGATTGTAAAGTTTTGCCCGGAGAAATTATGTGATCAAATATTTTGGAAGTAATTAGGGAATTGTCAACATTTTTCAAGTCAAACCTAATGAGACAAAGATTTGTGCGTTTTTAGAAACGTTAGTTCATGTTTGCAATAAAAAACTACAATTTTGTTTGATTAACAAATTAATTAAATTCATTTTGGAATAATGTGACAAAACTTTTGAAATTCCTAGTATTAAAAATACATTTCTTAGTACATTTCATAGTAAATAATTCCACCATTTTTGGCATTATTGTTTGATTGTTTTTAACGATTTTGATTATTTCATGATATTTTACACAAATGATTTTTAAGAGATAAATGCAAGCTCCTTTCAATACATAAAGGCAAATCATTAGAAGGCAATTTATAATATAAAATACATAACAATTGTCAAATAATATTCTTTCATTTAACACAAATTACTTACTAAAAATAAAAATATACATGCAGAGGTTTTTGCATTGATATAAAACAAATAAAATGAAATTTTAAACATTAAGTTATGAGAAATAAATCTCCATAATTAGTGTTATTTAAACTTAAAAGCAACATAAGTTAATAAGTAACACAGGGCAGACGGCAGCGACGCTAAGTACTAACTTAATGGCGTTAAACATATGACTAATAGATAATTTATTACTCTCCTGTCCGCACTTGTCTGTCCATCCCGGACAACTTAACTTCAAGCTTTTTCAGCCCTGAAACATTTTGAAGATTTCTTTTTATTTTATACCACATAGAGATGACTCAAAATCAGAACAATTAGAAAGGATTTCAATTTACTATACCACTTCAGATAAACAAAATATATACCTGATAGGTTATTTCCTTGCTTGTAACGCATCAGATAGCCAGTCCATCGCCTGGTCGAGGCCCTCACCCCGCACCGCTGATGTCTTGAAGATCTGGAAGGTTCTGTCGCGCAGCGCGTCCAGCCCCAGCGCCTGGTGCACCTCCGCCACCGTCAGGCAGCCCGCCATGTCCTGCTTGTTGGCCAACACCACCAGGATGGCATTCCCTAACTCTTCCTCCTACAAAACCAATATTAACCCTTAATCAAACAAACACCCTGGGCCAGTGCGGTTGATTATGACCTAGTCACCTGTTACTTAGAGTAGGCTCTGAGCAACTCGGTGGGGATGTGTAATGAGCTGGAGATGATGATGATGATGATGAAACAATCGTTTTATTTAGATAATAATTATAAACCAGTTATATATTTGATTTTTATAATAAGGGAACCCCCCTTTTCTTGTAGTTGGTATTGATTAGTGTGGTAATTTGTTTAGTTTCAAATTCATAAAGTTTAAAAATGTATAATGTCTTATCTGTGTAGATAAATAATAAATTATTGTTATTGATATTAAATTAACTTTAATCTATTTTCCATGTTAATTATAATTGAATGACAAATATACTAGGCAAACATTTATTACTCATTTTAGATATCTTAACTGTATTTACCCAAAAATCATTACTAGTATTAGATTGTAAAGATAATTTTCCTAATTGTAGTCACTTACAAATATATTAATGCCTATAATATTAAAAACATGGTAAAATGGTCATAGAGTACAATATATGTTAAACATTTCTGTTTCTAGTTTCTTTTATCAAAAGACCATTAACATCTGTATTAATGAGTTATTACTAAAAATAAAGAAGAAAAACTTACTCTTAACATATGCACCAATTCATCTTTTGATATTCCTATTCGATCTCTGTCTGCAGAGTCGACTACATAAATTATTGCATCTGTGTTGCCATAGTAACATCGCCAATATGGCCTGCAAATATAATAAAAGTACACATTAATCAAAGCTATATATGTTATACACACTGTACAGGACAGTTAACTTGTAGGAGTGAAGGTTCAAAGAATATAAAACAACCTAAAGATTTAAAATTATAATTCAAATTACAGAAACCATAAACATACACATTATTATTTTCTAATATTACTTTTGAACAAATTAAAACTTTGTAATTTATGGTTTATACATTTTCAGTTACTTCATTGATTACATACAACCTGATGACATTGTTTTAAAAAAATTGTTTAAGATAAGTCCTAACTTTAAGTAATTAAACTCACCTAATACTAGTTTGTCCACCAAGATCCCAAACCTGGAACTTGAGGTTTTTGTACGTTACTTGTTCTACGTTGAACCCGATAGTCGGTATAGTGGTCACCACCTCGCCAACTTGTAATTTGTAAAGTATTGTGGTTTTTCCGGCGCCGTCCAATCCGAGGATCAAAATTCTCATTTCACGCGCCCCTAACAGACCCCGAAAGTAACTAAACAGTCCACCTGTAAATCGAAAACAATAACCGTACATTTTTTTCTGTTTAAGTTATCGAAATACGGGAAACAAAAGATATACTTACCCATTTTATATGTTAAAGCTTAGCCTAGCAAATCATGAGTTATTCTATACGGAATGATATCGAATTTTCACCAAGACATCCAGCCTAAGTTACTTTATTGTTTTTAGGCACAATTCTATTTGTTTCTTACTAACTACAACCGTAAATGTTGTTAATTGCGAATCGAAAAATGTCTTCAATTTCAACTCTACCTTTTGACGTGTAAGCAAGCTTATGCGATGTTGCCTCATTGTAAATTAATTTTTGCAACGCAATTTTAATAACGAAAATGCACATTGAGCAGGTTCTAGAGCAGGAAATTAATTTTGATTAAATTGATGATTTCATCTTAATTAAATTTATATTACAATTTAAAAAATATTAAAAATCACGAGAACCTTTTACACTGCCATCTATGTTCTTACAAAGAAAATAGTAGAAGTTAATGTTGCCTTTAGCTTTGATACATTAATTTCACTTCCGCTAGGGCGGCGTTATTAGATGATTTGTTTCGAAAGTGAACATTTTTAAAAAACAATACTAAGATGGTTCGCGTTATGTTGTGCTTTACTATATTCGTCTGAAATAGATCCACTAGTTTACTACTTACTACATTTTTCATCTATTTATCGTACAAGTTGGCATTTTTACTGTGTTATCATGTAATATAGTTAATTTTTATTTAATATTCAATGCTCTCTTACAGGTTATAGTAAACATTATTCATTATGTTGTTATCTTAATTCATACAACGGTCGTGTAATAGTGACGCAGCGTGACGTAGCGCGCACGCGCCGCTGTGACGTCACAGCCGCACCTGCGGCGGCCGCGCGCGCGCTGACAACTGTCTTAGTGGCGACATGTGGGATTCACGTGACTTCTAAAGTGTCAGACAACTAAATCATGCACTTTTATTTCCTGCGTACTCGTAATATAATTCAAATTAAATACATTATATAGGAAATAAAGTCAGTTATCGCCGATGGGTCGTCAGGCCTTAAAAAAATGAGCTCAAAATCAGACAAAAACTCAAAAACTAAACCACGTTTTCACATGAGATTTAATTTTTTTAGCTTGTTTGTGTGTGTGTGTATGAGTAGGTTATCAATGTTCAATATGTAATCATGATGTCACATTACCCAACAAATGATTTGTGGATGTTTTCTGGAGAATTTTCCTCAATAATTCCACCTGGTCAGGAAGTGTCGATTGGTGGAGCCATTGATAAATTCTGTGAAACATAATATCACATAACCGTGCGAAATCGTACGTCACGCCTAAGTAAATATTACTAACCGGAACAATCTGGCAAAAATGAAATTAAAATAGCTCAAATCAAGCTGTCTATTTCAGCTGCTACATTAAATCCGTCCATAACATGTTACTACTTATTAGTAAAATTTTGACGTAAGTAGAAGCAAATTATTGATATTCTGTGCCTGATATAATGCATCTAAAATTGATTTCGTTTAACCTATCCACTACACAATTTAGATGACACTGTACTATTTGCTGCAATCCATTGAGTAAGGCATCTTTGCTCTCTCCTTGCAATATTTACGGATGTTTGTGGGCAGTTAGTATCAGAACAGTTCGAAAACACCGAATAGTTTGCTATTAAAACTATTGTGAGATTTTAATGTATTTAAATAATAAGCTTGCGTCAGTATCTCCAGACTTTCAATGTAGGTGTGCAAATATTCGTAGGAGAGAATGAAAATAAGATGGATTTCTAGAAAGATCAGAGTTAATTGTTTATATTGTAGTATAATATTGCAAATTACATAAAGATGAAACGCATGTTGCAAGAAGGTTAGTCATGAGTGTGGAAGGGTACACCGGTAAAGGTAAACCTAGAAAGAGATGGATTGCGTGAAAGGTGACATTATCAAAAAGGGAGAGATGACTGAGATGACGTAGAGAGTTACGTGGAGGACAAAAATCTGTTACGCCGACACTACGGGAGAAGTATAAGGAGAAAGATGACGATGAATATTGCAAATTATACTTTTATTTGTTATTAGAAAAATGTGTACTGCGTACTTTCTAAATCATACTATAAACAACTTATTTTTTTCTTTAGATTGTGCCACATAAACAGAATTAAAAAATAATTATGTTCCAAAACAGATGTTGGATTCCAGCGCGGTGAGTCGGGCTATGTTTTTCTCGTACTGTGTTGTTATAAAATTAAAAAAAGAGTTCACTATTAATACACACAGTTTGGAAATAATCTACTCTATTTACGGCACTTTAGCGGCTTTGATCTACATACGACTGTAAGTGCATTTACAAACGGGGTCCATCAGTTTTGAGGGAAAAAAATTAAAGTAAATATTTTCTTCAACAATTCACAATCGATCGATTATAACTTTAGTGTAACATGGTAATCGAACATAGAGTTTCTTTTCTAGACTAAAAAAATAAAATAATCGCCTATCTCGGTCTAATTAAGCATCTGCTGCGAACACACGACATTCAACAAGAATAGGCAATATGCATGTAATTTTTTAATCGATTCTACTAGCTATAACATGTCTAGAAAAAAACATACCATATGAAAGAAAAAAGACATTAAGCTAAAAAATAATTATTAAAATCAAAATGATTTTCGTGCCACTTCTAGTCCTTGACAGTACGTAGCATGGTAACCCTACTCCCTAGTACAAAAAAACAATGAATCACATTAACTCTACATTTTTCGGTTTATCTCATAAGATCGTATGAAATATATTCACCTCAGGAATCCGTAGCGGATACACGCAGATGATTGAATCAACCTCACAATTATAAATCAGGTCGGCTAACACAGTCGTTTGTAACATAAACAAATGGGCTCGTACTAGTTGAAGTAATGGAAACTGCTGGCAAAAAATAGAAAATAGGCCAATGCGCATATCTGTTGACTATTGAAAGAAAATTAACCAAAGGTAGATTATGTTTCCGTAAACGAAGTAATATATTTTTTGGATTGAAACAAACACGTGATAATTTTGCTAACTTCATAAACAATTAACTTTGACCTTTCATTTTACTTTGTTTATTTAGTTCTTCACTAATTATTTGTTAGTAAGAATATCTTTTGATTTGGTACAAATGAATTATTGCATTGTAGCCAGCAATTTTATAAATAACCTAAAAATTTTTGTAAATCTCTTTGGGTCTTTTTACAGTTCAGAGCCACGTGTTTCAATTCATGTCTTGTGATATTCTCAAACTGTCTGTAAAATTAAATACAAGCAAAATGTTTGGTAGAACATCCTCATTGATAAAATCTGGCATGAAATATGTTGATTTACCGCGTATTTATAATGACAGACGCAAAGTCCGTGGTTTAAAAGATCTCCTGTTTGTACAGAATTGAGTAAACATGTTGGTATGCGCTCAAAATATTTACAAATTAAATTATTTATGTTTATTATTTAATTTATGATGTTGAATTCGTTACAGATTTGTACAGTCTAATTTATATTATTTGTTTGCGTTTTTTTATGGAATGCGGTAGATGTCACTAAATATATCATCTTTTATTAGACGCCATAAACATTTGTATGTTACGTTACGCCTATGGACGTTATTTTTGTCTTGATTATTTACCTCTACAAAACAATTTAATGGGAATAAAATCTAGAATCTCGAATATCTAATCAATTAAAGCTAACGGAAGCTTCAAAAATAATTATTTACATTAGAATTAAACAATTGTTACTTTAATACGTGTTACAAAAAATTATAACCTCAAATTATATAAGGCAGGCAAATCACAGTGACATTGCATTCCATGGATAAAGGAATTAGGTCACGGGGCCAGATTTTGTAATTGATTGAACTTTTGTACGGGTTTTTGGAATCCACAGCGGCGATATCGATTACAGTGAACAGAATGACGTATCCAGCATTTCCTGTGAAGTCCTTGATTTTAATAGTGCTTTTGAAAACTTAATTGGATTAGTTTGTTCAAGGCTGTAGGGCCGGAAGGCGGCGCGGTAATGTCTATAGTTAATGTAGTATTGTGAACCTTATTTACTTCGATATTATTGTTGTTAAGTTATATACTCTTAAGCACTTGATCCTACTCTATAAAGATGTTTCCTTATGTAGCCTTTCAATTTCTTCACGTCATAACGTCACGTGCTCTAGAGTACAATAATGCATTAAATTCTAACAAACTGTAACTGCTTGACGCAATTGACTATTGTCCTGCAACCCAGTGACCTCAGGAGGTCAGCTCTGGCTCGCAACCGTGCCACTGACCTCCGACAAGGACACCGCAATGCCCCGTCCTCGGCCGATTAGTTCCCTTCTAACCCTTCCTTATCGTTTGAGGTCGCCTTACAACTTCCTAATAACTATAAAATAAACGACCGTCAGATGTTTTCGTGTTTACTGGTAGTCCAGATAAATGTTAACATGCATTTATGACAGTATTATAAAATTAATAAATTATTTTGCTGTATTTCCAAATTAATGAACACTAGTTATGTATATTACATTGATTTACTGCGTTAAGTACATGAAAAAGGTATTTAAACACTACACAGTTATTCAATTTGTTTTCAGGAGAGGTTATGTTGGCGATTATCTCGGTAGTTAATTGATCGCAAAGTGAATGACATTGACCTATAGTTTCCGAGAAGAGATACGTGAGACTAGCGGTGGTGTAAGATTGACATTCTGGTATGAATATTGAACATTTTCCTTATTGGGCTTTTTATTAGAAGAAAGATTAAAAAGTATTCACGTATATTAACGAATATGATATAGGAACTAGGATAATTACAATCTCAGTTTTTGCAGAACCGTGAACATCTAGATAAGAGTGTACGTGCACACTGCCGTAGTCGTGGCGTGTGTGTGCGTCAGAACGCGGGTGAATCATTTAGTTTTTCCTTGTCTTATCTAGAATCTGTGGAGCGGTGGCGAGGCCAAAACCCCTTGAGACGGATTAAAACGACTTGATGGTGTTATAATTGACCTTATTACGGCATGGGTTCTTTTGATTTACTTAGAAAGCAATTCTTTATTACAACGGTGTTTTACCTGCGTTTACGGATCTAGTTGCTGGCTGTTTAAAGGGTTACCATACAGTTCCTATTCTAACGAAATTAACCTCAGATAAAATTTCTAATAAAGAAATGGTAAACAAGATATAAATGATTAAATCCATCACATAACATTTAAATTGTATCTTTGATGATGTCCAGGATCCAGAAACCTATTTAGATTTTTAGT